CGGTTCACCAGGCACATGATTCGTGCTCACCCCATTTCGTGTAAGGTGGTACGGTGACTAGTAGTTGAATATTCCCATAATCCGATGAGTAGACGCTACGTTTTAATTGCATTTCATACAGCCTTGCTTGCCCAAAAGCTATTCTCCGCCACACTCAATTTGGACTCCAGTTTCGACCTTGCATCAACTTGGCTCACCAACACCCTCAGCGGGACTCGAACCATGACGGTACAGCGTCTCGACACGTCAGTCACTCCAGCACACACACTCACGACGCAAATGCGAATTTCACGCAAGGCCAGGCATTTTGCCAGTTCACATTCTGTGGTAGGATTGCTGACGCAGCAATCTTATATTTGCTATAGCAATAGACCACACTACTTATTGTTCGCTTGTAAGTAGAGCTTCGAGACGTCTCATATACCTCGAAGCATGTGCGTGCCTGTTTGTGTGCTTTCAACTGTCCGTATATTCACGAACCGAGCAGTTGGTGGGACAGAACGTAACAATTGTCGAGCTTACTTCCGTTTCGAGTGAAAAAGTGTTGCGTGAAGAGATTCGAAGCTCGGTTCCACCACCAGAAGACGACGGCCGATTCCTCGTGACCAGCTGTCGATTGGCTCTACTGCAACATTCATGTTGACGCTGTTTAGATTTCGGTGAAAAGGTGCTGAGCTTTCGTCCGTCATTTGACGAAAACGACCTGTGAATCGCTTCACACAACACTTTTACTCGAAATGTAAGTAAAGTCAACAATTATGAAACAAGAGATTCCTCGAAACCCAACTTTTCTTCGCAGAGCATAACAATCACCACTACCCGTTCTTTTCTTTATCTTTCATGCGTCATTCGGATTGCGCAAAGTCGAACATGGGTCTGGTTAAGTTGATGAGCCTTTTGTCATTGTGTTAAAAAGAAAGTCTCCTCATCATCTTACACGCAATAGGGTGGATTTATCTCTACCGGCAGTACCTAAAACCGGCTTATGAACGAAAAATAAGCCATAAATATTTCTTACTCAGCTTCAGCATGTTGGCTACTTTTTTTTACTTTTTATGGACCCCTTAATCTTCTGATTTAATGTGGATTCTCCAGACCAGTGAAACGTTCTCCACAAGTCTGTTTCGTCTCTTGGATTGCTCAAAGGTCCAACCAGTTCTGCTTTTTTCCAACAATCCTCATGTGCACAAAACCTTGTCACAACCTGACCCAAAAAGAGGGTTCACAAATTTGCCAACTCCCGCCCAGCCTGCCGCGTTGCTACTTTTTGCGAGTCCCATTTTGTCTGCGCTACAACAAAGGCATGTCAACTTGCCGACAAAGCCGCTTTTTTCTTTATTTGCACAAACAATAGAGGAAGGCGCAAAATCGTCACGGTCGGATGAGTTGTGATAAAGTACTCGTGAAAAAGCATTTCAGGAACCACTCGGCGGAGGGTTGAGGCCGCAGGAGACAGGCCTCGAGCATGCAAGCCGTTCATCCTTCAAGAGCCTCATCAGTACATGTTTGAAGCTTAGACAAGCTGAAACCGTGTCCGGTGTCTTTACGCCCCAAAGGAAGGAATGTGGCATTTGTCTGCGTGTGTGTGTGTGTGTGTGTATTTGTGTTAGTACGTTGATCTGGGCATTATACAGTACGTACACGGCTCAAAGTGGGAATTTATACAACAGGCCAGTCATGTGTTGACAAAAGAGGAGAGCGACGGGAGAATCTGTCCACATTCTGAGAAGTGAGTAAACAACCGAATTGGGCAATGTTCTGCTCAAGCGTTGCCATGTCCTAATTGGCGAGAGGGTTGCTCTTGGAGGCGGCCTCGATTGCCGCACTCGCCATTGCCTCGAGAATGTGGCGAATGTGGCTGGTCGACGGTGTTGTGCGTAGGTCGCTGGTGAACAGACGAGCAAAGTAGACCTGCAGTAGATTTGGCGAATGTCCGCACGTCTGTCCATCCATGCATCCGGTGTCGGGCGTCATGACAGTCTGACCGAGTCTACGAACAGACGCATTGTGATTGGCCAGTTGACCAACAGGCCTGCGCCGATTGATACTCGCCGTCGCCGTCGCCGTCGAGTAGACGTTGACGGGCAGGCCGACCTGCTCGAGTTGGCGCAGGCAGTCGAGGAGAAGTTGGCGTCTGCCGGTCTGAGAGCCGGTGAAAAGGGCGTCAAAGTGGCGGAGAGCAGCTGAGTTGAGGTGACAGAGGCCTGGAGGAGAGGAGCATGTAAATGGGAAGGAATAGAGACAGTCAAAGCCAACAAATGTTCGGCCCATCTTCAAACGACTTGGATGAATCGCTGGTCCGCAATGCCCCTCGACAGACATCATCAGAAATGGAACCCATTCTTGCAAAAGTCTCGGGCCAACACGAGGTCGGGACCTCCACTCGTCTTTATCTCGCATGCTAACTATGCTCATAATTGAAAACGAAAATAGGTTAAGATTAAGAGAAATCATCTGATTTGGTCAGTCAGGTCTGTGTGGGTCTGTTAATGTCTGTACACGTGCTGGTGAGAGTACAGGAAATGAAGAAAGACTGGGTCCTGACTACACCATCTCTGAGGTGTATCCAACCTATTTCGTTTAATGTGATGGAGGACTGGTGCTCGAATTTGCCCACAATGATGTGAGTAGAGCTGACGTTTACATTAATTTGTTATCAACTTTTAAACAAATTGGGGAAAATTCTACCACCAGTCCTTCGTGACCTTAAACGAAATAGGGTGGATACCAAAAATAATAAATCTCTTGCGATTGCCTTGTTGGGCTGACTTGTATTTCGAGTAGAAGTCTGTCAGATAAGCAGATTCGTGGGTCAATTT